GTTGGTTCAAGGAAGCAGCTGAATGGTAAGGATTTCGTGCTAGCGAAGCACCAAAAATCAATGCGAGAAAGAGAAATTCATTGAGGGACCAAAGGACAAGCAGACCGTTTACAAGCATCTTTTTGTCGATAAGCAAGAGATGAATCAGGCGACTGTACATAAAAAGCTGCGTAAAAAAGACTACTGCTTTTTAAATAGCTTTGCTTATTTTTTACGCGAAATATAAAAATAAATTGCTCATAAGCGAGATTTCGAAATATAAACGTGCCTCAAAGTTGACTTTCTAATCTCCACAGCTTATACTGACAAAAAACTATCCTTGTAGATTTCGGCTAATTTAACTGTTTCTCAAAACCGGTCTTCGCTAAAAATTTGCTTGGCATGAGGTAGGCACACGCAAAAGCTAAATTTGAAAGTTTTAGGTCAAACATAAACAGAAACCATTCATATGATATCTTAGCTACATAACACTTGCAGTCCGGAACCGTTTTCCGCCACAGCTTCAGTTTTTATGCGTTTTTGCTGTGCAACGCTATAGCGTCATTAGAGTGAGCAAAAACGCATACTGTCAAGAGGTTGTTCGTGTATGTGTGTCTGTACGGCATCGAGTGAATTTTTTCACCCACTTCCAACTCAACAACCAGGAAAGCTGGGAGACTAAAATTTCTGGGGTGTTATTCCCACCCAACTGCCCTCCCCTCCCTCGTTTTAAAATCATCGCTCATGTGCGCTCAGACCACGCGTACATGGACCCCTGAAAAAATATGCAAATCCCTTTGGTGGGAAACCGTTCCGGGTACCAGACAGGGCAAAAAGCTGAAACTTCGCAGGGATATTCTCTGTGCATGTATGCCCTGAAGTTTTCCATTCAGCTACAGCATATGCTTGTGTTGTACGCAGACTGCACCAAAGTTCGCTATCGGCACTGCGTCAACTCGAAAAATAGCCAGTATAGGAATTTTGACAGGATATTTATCGTCCATATGGAAAATAGTATATCTAAATTGAGTTTTGATCTACACTTGCGCAACGATTTACGGCACTTCAAAAACATTTGTAACGAAGCAGATATTTCGCCTGTCGAGCAGGTTGCAAAGCTGGAACTTTGCAGGGATATTCTATCTTCACGTGTGGTCTTAATTCAGTTTGGAAT